GGATGGTCTTGATCAGAAAGGATCGATAATATTCCACTGAGAGGACAATACGTTCAGCAATACATGTTTATTAAAAAGAGTTGGTGAATCTGATGTGGAGAATTTGTAATCTGAATGCACTTGGGAATATGCAGAACTTATTTTTATATTATCGAACAGTTGCATCCCCTTCCTTACACATTCAGTATCAAGAAGCATAGTCTGAAAATATCAAATATTAGCAGGAAGACACTGATTATATTTTTTTTGTTTTTTTGTATGATTTTTATAATGTTGTGCTAAATGTTTGTTAATTGTATTTTATGACTGTTGTGGCATCAAATTGCTGCCAATTTGTAAGCCGCCTTGAGTCACCTTCGGGCTGAGAAAGGAAGGATAGGAATACTGTAAATAAATATATAAATAAATAAACAAACTCTAGAGCACATACTTTTGCATGCAACAGCCAGAAGTCTTAAATTCAAGCCCAGCTGTTACAATTGTTGGAAATCGCAACCTTCTACAAGCCTCCTATGCTAGTTATTTCTTATGTATATAATTGAGATTGCTTTACTATATGGTATGCATTTATTGCTGTGTATTTTCCCTTAACTCTTTGTTGTTAGAGGTTGTGGGAGGGACTACAAACCATGTGCCTGATCTTAGAGTAAGATTCTATTTTAGAATGCATTTGAACAGAAGTCATTTGGAGTTAGTTAAGTCAGTTTGAGGTAGTTGAGGTTTGAGTCAGTTTGAGTACAAAAGTTAGTTGGAAGTTAGAAATCGGTTGATGTCAGTTAGAGCAGGAGTATAGTCAGTATGCTGCAGTGAGATGTTCAGTTAATATATGAGTCTGTTTACAGCAGATGTACAGTACAGTCAGTTGAAATATAGTACAGTAAAGGTAAAGGTTTTCACTTGACATTAAGTCTAGTCGTGTCCGACTCTGGGGAGTGGTGCTCATCTCCATTTCTAAGTCGAAGAGCCGGCGTTGTCCATAGACACCTCCAAGGTCATGTGGCAAGCATGACTGCATGCAGCACTGTTACTTTCCCGCAGAAGCAGTACCTATTAATCTACTCACATTTGCATGTTTTCGAACTGCTAGGTTGGCAGAAGCTTGACCTAACAGCAGGAGCTCACCCCACTCCCCAGATTCAAACTGCTGATTTTTCAGTCAATAAGTTCAGCTCAGCGGTTTAACCCGCTGCACCACTGGGGGCTCCATAGTACAGAATAGTACAGTTTTAAGTATAACCAAGTTAACATGAAACCAATAAGCAATGTACATGAAGTTTGTAAGTAAATCAACTATATTAACTTTTAATGAAGACTACTTTTTTTTTGGCCTCTTGAGAGCATGATGTGAAAGCAATCAATTTTATGGGAGAGTAGATTTTTTTGGGCAACCTAAATAACACTTTGAAAGATCTGCTATATATTTTGTGCATTGGCACAACTTTGTTCCTAACAGTCAGAGAGATAACCAGGTATATCAGTCTAACAACTGAAAAGCCTAATTTGCCTTGCATGAATACTGGAGGATATTTACCTCTAAGGAGAAAATTGACTCAAGCAAGTTTTTAACTCTTTTCAGGAAGATCATACTTTACAAAAAGGTTACAATCTCTAACAAGGTAATGCCTTTCCAAAAGGTTATGATTATTCCAAGTAGTGTGAATGCCAGTTAATCTCCAAAAGGGTCACGCTTCCAAAAAGCCCCTGGAGATTCCTGGTTTTTTCAATAACAATGTCCAGAATCCTTTTCCCTTTTGAGATTACGCCACAAAATTGATAATGGGGCAAAACTTGAATACAGTACTCCAAATGTAAGTGCCATTTACCAAAGAGTCTTCTAGGAATGCCGACACAAAAACTGTTTAATTTTCCAAGCTGCTAGCAAATGCTGCTAATCAACAAATTAATTATTTTTGAAATGGTGAAGAGGTGACAAATTAGCTCATAAAAAGCTCTGGTCCAATTCCTGGGTCCTTTAAATTGGTAATCAGTATTGTCAAAAGTAATTGAGGCCCCTTCTATATGTCATGTAAAATCCAGGTTATCTGCTTTGAATTGGATTATATGGCAGTGTAGAAGGGGCATTCGTATGTGATATTCATGTAAGAAACTTAGGAGCCACCTTTCAAAATGCAACCTTTTCCAACTTGTTTTTCAAGTGGAAACAATATAATTGTCGTGATGACATTCTTTTCTGGTACTTAACCACAATGTTAAGCCTGTGACATCAGAGCAGGGGAAATCACTGAAGCAGTGCCAGATTTGTCCAAAAGATCAATGTTACTTTAAAAGGTTATGCGTACAACAGCACTAACATAATATTGCCTTTCATTTTCACCTCTTCTAGTCCAGATTTGAATTGGGTGTTTTTTCTTCTGAAAGCACTGTCAGACCAGTTTTTGGTCCTAACATACACATTTCTCAGTTCCTTGGAAAGGAACCCTCACATCATCCAAAAATGTACTTCAATTTGGAAGAAAAAAGGACATGGAGTGGGTGGATTATGAGCGAAAAAACTCTTCCTTTGGAGACATAGACGGAGGTGGGTTAGCTGACAAATGATCATAACACGACTTTTGTAAGGGATTGTGAATCTAAGAAAAAAATCATTAATGAGCACAAATAAAAATGATCCACTCATACAAATCCAGAAAAAAACAAGCAGTACAGATAAAGTTGATTACTTGTCTGTGTCTAGAAAGGGGAGAAATAGCAATAGTTTGTCCAAACTGTTTGCTAGATTCCTGAGCTCTTAAAGATCTTGAACTGCAAACAATGGAAAATCTCTGATCTGACTTCTCATATTGTTGGTATGTATACATGCTTTCAAGTCACCTGTTGACTTATGGTGACACAATTTCATAGGGCTTTCTTAGCTAAGGAGTATTCATAGCATTTTTGTCAATTCCTTCCTCTGAAGTATTTACTGGCGTCTCCCATTTAAGTGCTAACCAGAGCTGACCCTGCTTAACGGGCCAGTATTTCTCCAATTACAAACATTTACCTCACAGAATTGCAAAATCCACATTCATTTACATACCCAATCACTTTTAGTTTGAATATGGCTTCATAGTGTAATCTTTTTGACATTTTGATGTGCAGCAAGGGATTACAATGAAAGGCACGATCTTGTTAGAGATTGTGACCTTTTGTAAAGAATGATCTTCCTGAGAAGAGTTACAAACTTGCTTGAGTCACTCTTCTCCTTACTGGTAAACATCCACTAGTATTCATGCAAGGAAATTTAGGTTTCTCAGCTGTTAGATAGATATACCTAGTTATCTCTCTGAATTCTTAGGAACAAAGATATGCCAATGCACAAAATATATAGCAGATCTTCAGAAGTGGTGTTTTCAGCTGCCCCCCCCCCCCTCTCTCTATATATATCTACTCTCCCATAAAATAGATTGCTTTTAAATCATGCTCTCAAGAGACCAAAAAATTAGTCATTAAAAGTTAACATAGTTGGTTTACTTACAAACTTCATGTATGTAACTTCAGGAAATCCCACAATATCTGTTTTGAACTGTGTTATCTGAGTTCACACTGCCATATATTCCAGTTCAAAGCAGAAAATGTGGGATTTCCTGCCTTGATGTTCTGGGTTATATTATATAATAACTAGCTGTCCCCTGCCACGCATTGCTGTGGCCCAGTCTGGTGATCTGGAAAAAAAAGTAATGGTTTCTAATCTATGCAATTTCTTTCTGCTTTTGGGTAAACAGTATTTCTTGTTGTTTCTTTGTCAGTGTTGATGTGGAGAGTGTCTGGTTTGCTTACCCTGGAACATGCAACACATCGTCCTTCTTTAGGGGCCCCTTTCAAATCTATATTATATCTGTGTGTGTGTGAATTGTATAGATCTATCTCTATCTATGGCTGGATGGCTCTTTGTCAGGAGGGCTTTGATTAGATTTTCTTGTCCTGGTGAAGAGAGTTGGACTGGATGGCCTTAAGTATTTTCTGTTGGTCATGGGGGTTCTGTGTGGGAAATTTGTCCCAATTCTGTTGTTTCTGGGGTTCAGAACACACTTTGATTGTAGGTGATCTACAAATCCCAGCAACTTCAACTCCCAATGTCGAGGTCTATTTCCCCCAAACTCCATCTGTGTTCATATTTGTGCCAAGTTTGGTCCAGATCCATCATTGTTTGAGTCCACAGTGCTCTCTGGATGTAGGTGAACTACAACTCCCAAACTCAAGGTCAATGCCCACTAAACCCTTCTAGTGTTTTCTGTTGGTCATGGGAGTCCTGTGTGTCACCTTAGGTTCAATTCCATCACTGGTGGAGTTCAGAATGCTCTCTGGTTGTAGTTGAACTATAAATCCCAAGAACTACAACTCCCAAATGACAAAATCAAAAAATTTTGAGTGAAGGACATACATTGGGTTGTTATGTGTATGCTGTCCAAATTTGGTGTCAATTCCCCCAGTGGTTTTTCAGTTCTGTTAATATCACAAACGAACATGACATTTTTATTTATATAGATAATAATAATAATAATAATAATAATAATAATAATGCCTTGATGTGTTCTGGGTTCTATGGCTGTGTGGAAGGGCCCTTGAGTGAGCAAAGAAACAATTCCGCCGGCCTGAACCATTGTCCCGGAATCCTATTCTGAAGCGGACCAGCCGCGCCCAGGAGAGCTCCCCCTACCGCACGAAAGTGGTACAGTCCAAGTAGAAAGGGAGCCGGGAGGGGCTCCTTCCCTCTCCCAAGCCGAGCGCGGCTTCATGGGCCGCCTCTGCGCCTTCCCAGAACGCACTGCGGCAAGAAGAGGCGGAAGGGAAGTCGTCCAAAGGCAGCACAGCGAAAGGAGGGGGAGGGGAAGGGAGCGCCGACTACACTTCCCAGAAGGCCGAGCCCCTCCCTTTGCTCTCAGTCTTCGGGACTCCATTTCCCGTCGTGCCTGGCGAAGCGAACCCTTCAGCTCTCAAGGAGCGCGCCGCCGCTTGGCTTGCCGGGAGCAGTAGTCTTCCTGCCTGCTTTGCTGGGCGAGGGCGGCGCCGCGGTGAGGATGTGGCGGGCGTGACGCGATTTGGTCCGCGTTGGAGCCGGGGCGGCTGTGACGTGGCAGAGCGAGCCAGCGGAGAGAGGAGACCAGCAGCCTGCCTTCCTTCCTTCCCTCCTTCCTTCCTCCTTCCCTCAGCGAGAGGCCGAGAGGAGGAAGAGGGCGACGTCGACAAGTGGAAGCAGCAGCAGCCGCAGCAGCAGGAGGAACTGAGGCCCAAGCCCGCCGCCTTCGCCTTCCCCCTCCTCCTCCTTCTGCGCCGCCGTCGCCATGGGCCTCACCATCTCCTCGCTCTTCTCGCGCCTCTTCGGCAAGAAGCAGATGCGCATCCTCATGGGTGAGGGCCTCTCGCGAGTCTAGATACAGGCAGGCAAACAGAGACGCGAGGGAGGGAGAGGAAAGGGGGGCTTCTTTCTTTCTTTCTTGCCCCCCCCCCTTTCTCACCTTTTCCAAGGCCGCAGGAGAGGCGGGGAGCGGGGTCCCTGACTAGGCCTCTGCCGCCCGAAGGGAAGGAAACCGAGGGAGAGGGTCTGCGGGCTTCAGGGCCTTCAGAGGCGGCGGCGCATTCTTTCCTCTGGGCCTTCCTCCCTCCTTCCTTCCTTCCCTCCCTCCTTCGCGGGAGGCCTCCAGGATGTGGTTCGTGCTCCCTGCGCTGCTGCTGCTACTGCTGGGCTTCCTGTGTTTTCAAGCCAGCTGTGGCGCTTTGGGTCGCAGCCTTCGGAGCCACAAACCCTCCCCCCTCCTGGGTTGTTGTGGGTTTTCAAATGATATTTTGAAAAGCCCCTGACACACACACAAAACTCTTGTTCAGGGTGGTTTTTTTGGTCGTGGCAGGAGCGACTTGAGAAACTGCAAGTCGCTTTTTCAGCAGTGGTTCTCAATCTGGGATCCCCAGATGTTTTTGGCCTACAACTCCCAGAAATCCCAGCCAGTTGACCAGCTGTTAGGATTTTTGGGAGTTGAAGATCAAAAACATCTGGGAACCCCAGGTTGAGAACCACTATGTTAGAGAATTAGCTGTCTATATAGACCAGTGGTTCTCAACCTTCTTAATGCCATGACCCCTTAATACAGTTCCTCATGTTGTGGTGACCCCCAACCATAACCCTAACATTATGAATCGCCATGTAAATAATGATCTGCAGGATGTATTTTCATTCACTGGAGCAAATTTGGCACAAATACCCGGTATGCCCTAATTTGAATACTGGTGGGGTTGGCGGGGGGATTGATTTTGTCATTTGGGAGTTGTAGTTGCTGGGATTTATAGTTAACATGTAAACAAAGAGCATTCTGAACCCCACCAACAATGGAATTGAACCAAAGTTGGCACAGAGAACTCCCATGATCAACAGAAAATACTGGAAGGGTTTGGTGGGCATTGACCTTGGGTTTGAGAGTTGTAGTTCGCCTACATCCAGAAAGCACTGTGGGCTCAAACAATGATGGATCTGGACCAAAGTTGGCATGGATATTCAATATATCCAAATGTGAACACTGATGGGGCTTGAGGAAAATAGACGTTGACATTTGGGAGTTGTCAGTACTGGGATTTATAGTTCACCTACAATAAAGGAGCGTTCTGAACCCCACCAATGATAGAATTGGGCCAAACTTCCCACACAGAACCCCCATGACCAACAGAAAATACTGTGTTTTCTGGTGGTCTTTGGCGACCCCTCTGACACCCCTTCGCGACCCCCTCAGGGGTCCCGACCCCCAGGTTGAGAAACACTGATATAGACATTGACCAGGGGACGCCTGGGATGTCTTTTATGTGTTACCATCTTTGTGGGAGACTTCTCTCATGTCCCCCCATGAGGAGCTGGAGCTGATAGAGGGAGCTCATCCATGCTCTCCCCCGATTCAAACCTGTGACCTGTCAGTCTTCAGTCCTGCTGGCACAGGGGTTTAACCCACTGAGCCACTGGAGGCTCCTTCTGGGTGTTGAAGTGCTAGATTTAAATATATAAACGCTGTTTGGGTGCCTCTGAGTTCACTTCTAGGATTTATCCCTAAATTGGCATACAAAGGATTGGCTGCTGCTCCTTGATTTTGTGGCATTTCTACATATCCCACCCAGACCTGCTGTTACCGTGGAAAAGTGATTGTTACTCTTCGCCAGCCTCAAATCAAAAGCTTTAGGAGGGGAGAAAGAACCCTTATGCTTCTATTGGGTTTCAAAGCACATTGGAACACAGAGCGATTTTCCTTGCAAACTCTAAACCTGACAATATTTGGACTGAGTTGCTGTGAGTTTTCCGGGCTGTGTGGCCATGTTACAGAAGTATTCTCTCTTGGCAGTTCACCACATCTGTGGTAGGCATCCTCAGAAGTTGTGTTGGAAGCTAGGCAAATGAATTTTATGTATCTGTGGAATAATGTCCAGGGTGGGAGGAAGAACTCTTGTCTGCTTGAGGCGCTTGTGACAGTGGCGGGACCAAGAGCAGGGCCTCCCCAGAAGATCTTAGTCTTATTATTTTATTTATTTACAGTATTTGTATACTGCTTTTCTCACCCCTAGGGGGACTCAAAGTCTTCCTATGATCCACCTCAGAGATTAAGATCATCTGGGGAGGCCCTGCTCTCGGTCCCACCTCCCTCGCAAGCGCGACTAGTGGGGATGGGACACAGGACCTTCTCAGTGGTGGCCTCTCGGCTATGGAATTTCAAGTAAAAACTTGACTGTGGGATCAGGCTTTCAAAGAATAGTTCAGTACAATAGTAGATTTGGAATACATGCAATGACTTGGACTACGATTATGGATGGCGTGATTGTAATATGGGATGTAATGTTTTTAATTGTTTAATATGTATTAATTTTAATAATACTTTGGAATTGTTTGTGTTTTAAAACATTGAATAATTAACCGTATGTAAGCTGTCTTGAGTCATCTTCGGGGCAGAGAAAAGCGGGGTATAAATAGGATAAATAAATGAAAGCCTGGCTGATTGCTGCCTGGGGGATCCTTTGTTGGGAGGTGTTAGCTGACCCTGTTTACCTCACCAAACCTTGCATTAGAATTAGAATCTGGAACATGGTCATTCAGCCTGGAAAACTCACAGCAACCCAGTGATCCCAGCCATGAAAGCTTTAGACAACACAGAATGAGAATAACTTTATCAGGGTCAGCTAACACCTCCCAAAAAAGGATTCCTCTAGGTAGAAAGCAGCCAGGCTTTGAAGGTGAAAGGCTATTCAGTGCTCATCAAAGTGACCTGCTGCAACATTTGCACTTACCTAAGCAGACAAGAATTCTTTCTCCCACCCTGGACATTCCACAGATATATAAACCTCACTTGCCTAGTTGCTAACAGACCTCAAAACCTCTGAGGATGCCTGCCATAGATATGGGTGAAATGTCAGGAGAGAATGCTTCTGGAACATGGCCATACAACCCGGAAAACTCACAGCCACCCAGTGATTCTGGCCATGAAAGTCTTTGACAACATATTAAACACTGTTTATTGGTGCCTTACCCCCCTCCCCCCCTTTTTTTTTACACACAGAAGTCTTCTTTCCCAGTCAAGAGGGTAAAGCGAGTTATAGTGTAATAATCATAATAAACTTTATTTTGAAACCTCCCTCTCTCCCTGGACTCAGGGCAGCTTCTAGGATGAAAATGGCAAACAGTCAATGCCATGTACAATCATAAAAATTAAAACATTTACACATACAATTAAAACAGATTACATGACTTTGGTTTAAAAAGTATAAATCGATCAGTTAGGCATCATAGATAATACAATTAGACGTTAAAATTGTATAAAAATATACCTCTTCAATAAATTAAGTGATCATTGTTAACTTTGTCCACCAGGATTGAATCAATGATAGTAATATTTCTATGTGTTCATATGCTTTGTTTTTATCTCACCTTTCCCAACTCAATATTCAAGGCTTACCGTTTCAATGGAAAATGTAGAGAGGAGTTTTCTTTTAACAAGACTGGTGGACTGAAGGTGTGTCTACATCAGGCATGGGCAAACTTTGGTCCTCTAGGTGTTTTCTTCTGTGCAGTTTTCATAAAGTCTTTATTTAGCCTTCTCTGCCAAATGGAAGGCTGTTTGGTAGTTTGCCTCACCAAACTATAACTTGCATTAGAATTAAAATAACTTTATTGTCATTGTACAACGAAATTAAATGCTTTCTTCAGCACACATCACAAAAAGAACACACCTATCCCTCCTCACTTCAACCACCACTGCAATGCCACATCAGTGCAAAACCATGGAGTTCAATATAGTTATAGCTCTAGGATAAAAGCTATATCTCAGCCAGGAGGACATTGCCATCTTGTCCCCTGTGACATCAGCGCCCCTGCCTCAACACCAACGGCCACTCTGGGGCCAGAATAAAGAAGGGGAGCCAGGAGGACATTGTCATCTTGTCCCCTGTGACATCAGCGCCCCTCCCCCAACACCAACGGCCACTCTGGGGCCAGAATTGTTTTTATACTATGTCTTGAATTTTGTTGTTCCTATGTTGTACACCGCTGTGAGTTGCCCCTGGGCTGAGAACAGCGGTATATAAGCAAAATAAATAAATAAATAACTATTTTTTCTTGTTCCATAGCATTATTCCATAGCATTGAGCCATGGCAGTTAAAAGTGGTGTCAAACTGCAATAATTCCGTGTAGAAGATGCACCTGGAATTTATATGCCTCTCATCTCTCCCAACTCCATCTGTGCTGTGCAGAGACCCACGTTCCTTCATACCATGAATGCGATTGTCAGGGCTTTAAGTGCAGAGAGTGTCTAATGTTAGGAGTGGATGGGCTATTTTGACATTAGATGCAAAAACTACTTTTTATTGTATTTATTTTGAGGTCAGTGCTACCCAAATCATCAATGGAAGTCACCGAAATATGTTGACTGTGAGCTGCTGATAGTATTTGAATGTTGGCTCAGGGTTTTGCCCTAATTACACAGTGTCTGTTCAGAAATACCGTTGGTTTGAATGCAGTTTCTCTAGGGCAGTTAATTTAATGGAGCATGTGTATTCGGAGTTGCTGAATCAGTGACCCTGTGAAGTCACAGCTCTGATTTTGAAACTGGAAATGTCTTGTACGCTTGGCCATCCCCCACCTATGCTAAGTGTTATCTCGTTTTCTGGTATTTATTAGTCTAGGCATAGCTTTTGAAAAGCAGCCCTGATTTTTCTTAATACAGTCATCCCTCCACATTCGTGGTTTTGACATTTGTGGATTTGATAAACAATGTTCTCTCAAGGAATCTCGAGTTCCTCCAGTGCAATTCCGTGCTCGGCTTCCAGAGGAAGTTGACCACAGGGTCATGATGGAGGACCTATAGATTCTTAGAAAGGTGTTCTTTCAGATAAAAAAGAGTGACATTAAATATAATTAAAAAATATATTTATTGGGATTTATATAATACCAATAGACAAGATACACAATAAAATAGCAATGTTTCATTAGCTGTTTTTCATTTTCATGGAGATCCTGTGACCCTATGTGAAAGGCTTACTGTACTTTGCTTTTACATAATGTGCAAGGGATCTTTTCTTCATCAAGCAGTTCCTACTCATAGTCCTACTGGACTATACCTGAAATGTATGGTAATTACAAATGTATGTTTTGTTTACAAAACACAAATATGTATTTTCTTTTTGACTGTTACTGCCAATATTCCTGCATTCTTCCCTAATTTCACATTTCAGAATGTCTGAAAGAATTCAACTTCTTCAATTCACAAATTGGGATGTGTATGGAGGAGCTTGAATGTCAGGTTTTGAAGTTGAATGCTATTAATGTAAGCAGAATTTCAGAAAATCAGTGTATGCTCTGTGATTTTCTGTATGTTTCTAGGATAGTGTCTTCAAAACATTAAATATTAAAGCCTTTTAGATTTGACTTTACCCCTAGGAAAAGGTTTAATTCTTTGCTGAAGGAGAGTGGCATTGCCACATCATTTTTAATTTTTCTCCATTGCTCTTCAGTTTGTAACATTCCCCATGTGCAACACTGCTTTCCCCACAAAGGCCCCAATGTTCCCCTTTCTCTACACTGCTATTCTGGAACTCATAACTAGTTGCTAACTCCAGGCTCTGTCACTCACCCTGAGAATACTATAGTCATGCCAAATACCTCCCAGGCAAGAAGTCCCTGGATGACAGCAGGCTTGCTCTGAATCTCAGCGGCTGAATCTCTTGGACATCTCAGCGGCTTTCGATACCATCGATCATGGTATCCTTCTGGGTCGGCTATCTGGGATGGGCCTTGGGGGCACGGTTCTGTCGTGGCTCCAGTCCTTCCTGGAGGGACGAACCCAGATGGTGAAGCTGGGTGATGCCTGCTCGGACCCCTGGCCTTTGACCTGTGGGGTCCCGCAAGGCTCCATTCTATCTCCCATGCTTTTTAACATCTACATGAAACCGCTGGGAGAGGTCATCCGGAGTTTTGGAGTTGGGTGCCATCTCTACGCAGATGACACACAACTCTACTACTCTTTTCCACCTAACTCCAAGGAAACCCCTCGGGTGCTGGACGAGTGCCTGACCGCTGTGGCTGTCTGGATGAGGACGAACAAGCTGAAGATCAATCCCGACAAGACAGAGGTCCTCCTGGTCGATCGTAAACCAGATCGGGGTATAGGGTGGCAACCTGTGTTGGACGGGGTTACACTCCCCCTGAAGCCACAGGTCCGCAGCTTGGGAGTCCTCCTGGATTCATCGCTCACGCTTGAGGCTCAGGCGTCGGCGGTGTCCGGGGGGGCTTTTGCACAACTGAGACTTGTGCGCCAGCTGCGCCCGTACCTCGCGAAGGCTGATCTGGCCGGGGTGGTCCATGCCTTAGTCACCTCTAGACTGGACTACTGCAATGCGCTCTACGTAGGGCTGCCCTTAAAAACGGCTCGGAAATTCCAACTGGTCCAACGGGCAGCAGCCAGGATGCTAACGGGGGCCCCCTACAGAGAGAGGTCAACCCCCCTGTTTAGGGAGCTCCACTGGCTGCCGTTTATCTTCCGAGCCCAATTTAAGGTGCAGGTGCTTACCTACAAAGCCCTGAACGGTTTGGGACCATCCTACCTACGAGACCGCATCACAGTCTACGAACCCACACGCTCGCTCCGGTCATCAGGAGAGGCCCTGCTCGTGATCCCACCCGCCTCGCAGGCGCGTTTGGTGGGGACGCGGGACAGGGCTTTCTCTGTGGTGGCCCCCCGCCTCTGGAATGCCCTCCCGAAAGATCTCAGACAGGCCCCCACCTTGGCGGTCTTTAGAAAAAACCTGAAAACCTGGCTATTCCAACGTGCCTTCTCAGATTAGGAATCCCCACTACCAAAGCCCAGAAGCACTTTAGTAGAGCCAAGATCACTCTCAACGCACACCGCACTTATATCTTAATCTTATATCCCTCCGACACTTTTTTCAGCACTTTTAACCCTGTACCCCACCTCAGCCGGCTCAGCTTTTTTTTAAAATAACGTCCTGTTGTATTGTTATTGCCATTGTTTTCTGCTTTAACTGTTTTATTTTGCTATGTATTGTATTGTTGTATTGTGTTGTGCTGGGCTTCGGCCTGTTGTAAGCCGCATCGAATCCCTTGGGAGATGCTAGCGGGGTACAAATAAAGTTTAATAATAATAATAATTAACTGAGTAGATGTCAGAAGCAAGAAGGCAACTTAAAGTAGCCTTTCTCATTTTCTCACCTTCCTCTATTCTCCCTTTTCAGATGCAATTTAGGGTCTCTCGCTCTTCCTCCCCCATTTTCACACTAGAAAAAGGGGGGAAAGAGCAACTCCTTATCTCTGGAAGCTATGAAAGAATATAGTGTCAGTTAAAAAATAACTTGTGAAGTGGAATTATTTAAGGGAAGACAGAAAAATCTGGCATGGATATCTTCAAAAACACAGAAAATATTGGTTTTTGGCATGTTACATTTTCAGAAAGAGACCTGAAGGTACTTCAGATTATGGAATCAGTTGTATCTGCATTGCTACCTTTCTCTTTAACTCTGAAAGAGAACAGATTGCCACTTTCTGCCTGTATTGAAAATGTATTTAGTGGTGTTTTGACTATAGAGTAAGCCCTTCACTTTTGCAGGCTTACCCAGCATCTCTGAGAAAGTGGAAAAACTACAAATTTAAAAAATCTATTATTTTTACCTCATTAGGAATCTTTAGGTCTTCTAGATCACCACTGGTTAACCCTCAGCAGAAGTTGACCATAGTGTGTTCATAGAGAGAACATATTAATCAAATCCACAAGTTTTAAACCCACAAATGGCAAGGACCAACTGTAGCTTTTTTTATTAATAAAAATCACATTTGGCTACTATTTTGAAAACATATTTTGTCAATGTATTTTTTGTTTTTGGTCCTTCTTTCTTTGTTCTAGCTTTGCCCATACAACAGTGTGTTGCAGTTTCCTTAGATATGCACTTTGAACCCTAAAACCTGCCCCGTTGAAAGGACAGGAACTAGACTTATTTTTTTTCCACAAGACATGTTTTAGGACATAATTGTCCACCATTATTCCATTTTATACCTACATTCTATCTGATCTGTATTCTATCAGTAATTAAATTATTAAATTGACAGTTAATCTTTAGTTGTAAAACTGCCATATTAGTTCACTAGCTTTTTTTTTTTTTTAAAGAACAAACATATCTAGTTTTTGCATCATTAATGTTCAGGACACTTTGAATTTTCAGATCTCTGACAAACATTAAGACGCTATAAGACATTGTTTTTAACTGTGTAACAATATAGTACAAGGAACATGAAGATTAGATTGCATATGTGCATATATTTTCCCTATCGTATTCTAAAATCCTCCTTTGTAAGTTCTCTTTGGCTAAAGTGACCAAACACAAAGCAAAGTTAGTGAAATACTTTTGATTTCTTTGCATATGGCAGCTCATTAAACTTATACAGAGGCTTGGCCTCCCTATCCGTAATACATCATTAACCTGAAAAAGCAGGAAAGTAAAACAAATGCATGCTATAAGTGGCACACTCAGATTAGTATGTATGTTATGCATAACCTTATGTGCAGATGCAGCACGCTCTATATTAAATATCACTATTTGGCAAAAGAGCTTGACTGTTTTCTTGTTCCCACCTGAGATTCAGATCCTGGGTAGCCTTCCATATCTTGGAATAACTTTGTGTCCAGGGGCATGGTTAAAGCAGGTGTTGCTGTCCTGCAGGGAAGGACTTTTTTCGGCGGCGTGTATTTTCCTTGATGAAAAGCCGTAATAGCTTGAAGTCTTAGATCTGACTGATGAGAACCTTGAGTTGAAGGGAATTTTCCAGTCACCTTCTTGAAGATCCTTGTATCCATTAGAAGCTTCTCTGTAGATTCTGCAAAGCTCTTCCACCCACTTTTGGTCCATGTCTCAATCTCATGTACTTTAGGGGGGCTGAGAAGTAAGAGGAGGAGGGGTGTTTAACATTTAGTTAAGTGCAAAATTCTGTAGAAAGGAGGGAAAGCCTTCAATTCTCAGAATCCCAGCCACATTTATCATTGTTAAATGCTATGTGCAGATGTTTGCCAATATTTCTAAAATACAGAAATAGAAAAAGAAGAAAGCTAATTTTAATGTTGTGTAATATTGCAGGATATAGATAGTCTTATCATCCAAGCAACTGAAGCTGTCTTCAGTGGGGTCTAAATTCTTGGCGTTTTTAAAGTTTTCACTTGCTAGTATACGTTATTTTAATAGAACTTTTATTTAATGAGTTTGTTTTCAATCCCAAAGTGTATTTCATAATTTATGCAGTGGCTAAAATATATAACACAGCTTCAAGTTTGTTTTTTCTAGGTCAGAATTTGCATTTTAATGTTTTCTAAAATAAGAATAAAAAAGCGAACTTGGTGTAGTGGTTTGAATGTGGGACTATGACTTAATACTAGAGTTCGAGTCCCCCCTTGGCCATAGGAACCCGCTGGATGACCTTGGGCAAATCACAGTCTCAACCTTAGAAGGCAAAGACAGCCCCCTCTGAACAAATCTTGCAAAGAGAGTCACGTTAGGGATACCAGAAACAGCTTGAAGACACAGCACCATGACAATAAAATTTTTGAGTAGATTTAAAACTGAAAAGCAAACATTGCTCAATGAAACCATAATCCATCATTTGAAATTTCCAAAAAGTATTTTCTGAAGACCAGTGTTTGTATTTGTTAAACTAATAATTCAATTCATATTTCTAGTTGGTTTGGATGCTGCTGGAAAAACCACAATTCTGTATAAGCTGAAGCTAGGAGAGATTGTCACTACAATTCCTACAATTGGTAAGAAAATAAAGATACTTTATATTGTCAATTTTATTCTGAAAATAGCAATTTTATTAACTTTTTAAAATGTAATGGTTACTGTTCTATTATCCAGGCAGAGTCCACAAGGTGATGCTTCAGAAAGGAGGATGGTCCATTTTATTAGGGTGCAGTGTGGATTGAAAGAGTAAAACCATTCCCCCCTGCTTTCCTGTTATTCCCCCACCCACCCACCCATGTCCCTGTCGCGGAACAATCCTCGTTTATGATATGAGAAGGGGGGAGGGGCATAACCAGCGAAAATGGGGGGAATGGTTTTCCTTCTTCAACTCTGTCCCTCCCCCACAAAATGGACAATCCTTTCTCTCTCTCTTTCTCTCTCTAGCACCCCCTTGTGGCCACCATCTGGATAATTGAACAGTACCAATTTATGTGTGTGATCAGACTAAAATATGTTTACAATAGGATATCAGAGCTTTCTTCCCCTGTAGTATGGTGAAGCTCACAAAAGTTTAATGAGGAAGAGTTGCTTCCTTGGGCAGCCATGACAAAAGAGCCCACCCTGAAACCAATGTATAGCCTTGGTATTCCACTATGTATGTCTAGAATGCAACATAGATTTTCATAACAGTATCAGTTTGATTTTTTTTTCAAGACCATACATTCATCTGTTTATAATGATAGTTTCTAGTAAAGGAATTCTACAGAAACCAGAATTGGTCTACAAACCAAAAGCAACATATTTATACAAACAAAAACTTAGTTAACATAATAGTTTTATACATACAGGTTGAGTATTCCTTATCTGAAATGCCTAGGACCAGAAGTGCTTTGGATTTTGAAATACTTATGTAATGAGATACCTTGGAAATTGCATCCAAGTCTAAAAACAAAATTTATATTTTTTGCATACTTCCTACAGATAGCTTGAAGGTAATTTTTATGAGATTTTTAAAGTAATTTTATGCATGTAGCAAGATTTCTGAACACGGAACTACCAGAAAATAAAGGAGAATTCCACTTTTTGAACAGTTTGAGATTTTGGAATTCTGGATAAAGGTTGCTCAGCTTTTACCTGGGCTTTTTAGAAATCTAAACATGACTAAATAAACAGATCAAGCAGTAACGGCTAGATGGTTGTTTTCTATACATTTGATTAATATGACACAATAGATACTTAGATGCCCTCCTCAGTTTTCACACATATAGGCACTAGTGAATACATACATAAAGGTTGACCTTATGTTACAATATATAATGCTCAGTAGTCTGTATTCTTGTAATGACTACTTGTTACCTTCTCTCCAGGTTTTAATGTGGAAACAGTAGAGTATAAAAACATCTGTTTCACTGTTTGGGATGTTGGTGGTCAAGATAAAATTAGGCCACTCTGGAGGCATTATTTTCAGAACACACAGGTAAGTCCTCTGACATTTGCCAAGCAAAATATAACTCTCTCTAATAGTGTGTGCTGATGTAATGTTGTAACCCCTATTAAGCCTCCACTGTTACCATGAACTCTACTTTCAGAGATAATTTATTTTATTCATTTAAAGCATTCATTCTGTATATGTTGGTTGGTGCTAGGTTTGTACCACAAAGACTTCTGTTTGTAGAGATCATTGCACACTGTTTTCATTCTAACCCACCTCACTTAATTCTGGATCATTTATGAACAAGTTATGAATAGCATCTCTTTAGTTTTATGATTGGAATTTATGAATCTTATTTATTTTGTCCTTTCAAGATATATTTTAGTTAGAATGCATATTTTAACAATAGTGAAGAATCAACTGGGATGCAACATCCTTGGAGTTTAATGGTTCCTCTCAATTTCCAGCTATTTGAGGATGTGAATTTGTGGGTTATCTCATCTGCCATATAATCCAGAATATCAAGGCAGATAATCCACATTATCTGCTTTGAACTTTATTATCTGAGTCTACACTGCCACATAATCCAGTTCAAAGAAAATAATCTGGATTTTATACAGCTGTATAGAAGGGGCCCCAGGGTACAGGCTAATTTTTTTCCTATAACTACTTTCCACTGTGATTTAATAGGAATCCCTGAGCAGTAAAACAGTACTTTGGGTACTTTGACACACAAGTGATAGGAAACATGACTTGAGCTTCACTAAACACAGGATGATGTTCACTTGAAAACCTGTGATGTGTTAGGAAAGAAAAAAAATCACTAGTAATCTGTATAGCTCAGGAGTCTAGAAGTGGCTGTTGTTGTTTCCAACTTTAGGCAAACCTGTCACAGGGTTTCCTTGGCAAGATTTATACAGAGAAGATTTGCAGTTACCTTCTTCTGAATCTGAAAGAGCATGTCTTGTCCAAGGACACACAGTAGGTTTCCATAGCTGAGTGGGGATTTGACCCCTGATCTCCCAGTTCTAGTCTAATAACAACTAAACTGTACTGGTTCTCAAGATTATTCAGAGGAAGTTTTCATTGCCTTCCTTTAAAGCTGAGGCAGTGTAATTTACCCAGGATCATTAGCAGAGCATCATTTTGGGCAACTGAAAGTGAAACGAGTACTTCCTCTATTCTCTTTGGCTGTGTGGTGTGGGCAATCCTCTAAACAGCAACAAAGAGTCCCACTAGATTTCCTCCCCACCTTTTTAAAATGTGTTTTCTTTTAACCAGCATAATGTCACCTGTAGGACTGTATAGTGTGATAGGAATGATATTTTGTCTGAGCTATTCTAGTGAGCACCTTTCTGAGCCCGCTATGACAGCATGATGAATCACTTTTTAAAATAGTGCCATTTTCATTGATGTTGGCTTGGATGAAATAGTAGCAGAAATTCTTCAGGTTAAAACAATATTATTTTCTGCTGAAAGCTGTAATTTGTTAGCTGTGGCTTTCTCCTTGATGGCCTTCCCAACTCCTCTCTAGTGGAACTTTAGTCTTTGAAGTCAACAGTGGGTCACAATACTTCGTTTTCTTACATATGTTCATGCTATAACCATTGTTTTCAGATTAAGATATAGTTATTGTATTTTGGTAATGACAACTTTAGGATTTATTTCAAGAGTCTTGTAGATCTGTTTCTGATCAACCTTCTTCAATAAATACTTTTCAGGGTCTCATTTTTGTGGTAGATAGCAACGATAGAGAAAGAATCCAGGAGGCTGCAGAAGAACTGCAAAAAATGGTAAGCCTCTTCTTTTTAACATGTTTGCTAGGTGAATTCTGCCTAGTTAGTAAAATGGAGAAAATTTGCAAAAATGGGCAATACAATAGGAAAACCAAAATACAAGATATTCAGTTGCACTGTTCTGTGCCTTGAACCGGTAAGATGATACTTCTTTAAATTGTTGTTGTTGGGCTTCAGTACAGCCCTTGCAGCTGTCACTGTGCTTCAACGTGCTCTTTCTTGTCCAAGCTGCTTAGGTGTACTGGTGATAACTAATTCAGTTACTGAAAACTATTTGGGGAATGCAGAAAAGTATGTGCAGCCCATCACTTTGCTAATTTGTAGTTTTTATGATAGTAGCTGTAAACTGAAGGATTTAATTTACACGGTTTCTTCTTTCAGCTTCAGGAAGATGAATTGAGAGATGCAGTGCTGCTTCTCTTTGCAAACAAACAAGACTTGCCAAATGCCATGGCAATCAGTGAAATGACAGATAAACTAGGCCTTCAGTCCCTGCGTAACAGAACTGTAAGTACTGAGATTTTCTATGTTCTGTCAAGTTCTCAATGAACAACATATTTAGTGTTCTTATTCTGATGTATTTAGTGCATGGGTAGTGCGTGTGTGGCCTTTCAGATGCTACTGAACTGCCAACTCTCTTCTGCCATAGCATGCCTAGCTAGTGCTGTGGATGGGAGTTACAGACCAGAAGCATGGGGAAGCCATGTGTTCTTTATCCTTAATTTAATTAGATGGATTTTTAAAAAAGTAGTGCTTTCCCATTTGTCCTGAAAAGCAGCTGGTGAACATTGGAGAACCTTTGTAATAGTGTCTTATTGGGGAGTTAAGAGGACTGCTATTAGAAATATCTGTCCACTCACACAGTATTATTGGATCAAACCCATATATTGTAGTAATTAGACATGAAAACTTGGAAATGAATACCTCCTTTGGTACTGCTCATACATTTGAGGGGGGGGGGGTAATTACTGTTATGCTACATTTGACTGACTGAAGAAACATAGCTGAATATGTAAAATACTTCCTTAAATACATGTAGGTAATTGTTAGAAGTAGCATCTTCCTTTGGCCCTATTTTATTTACTTTATGCAAAGCTTGAGTGAGAAAAGTGCTCCCTGAATGCCCCCCTTCAAAAAAAATTCGAGTCTTTAAATTAAAATTGTTCCCCTAGGATTGTTATTGTCATTCTGTCTTTTCAAGACTGTTTCGACTTACGGCAACCCTATCATTGGGTTTTCAGGGGCTGAGAGTGTATGACTCATCCAAAGTCACCTAGTGGGTTTTCATTACTGAGCGAGGAATCAAAGCCTGATCTCCAGATTTGCTGGGGACCATTTTATCAAGTTTTAACTGTTTTAGAGCTAGGAAAGATCTCATACATACAATATATATATTCATAGCTCATACCTTTGAAAATGACAAAATTGCCCCCTTATGGTGGTGGGGCATATTTTAAGTAAAAACATTGAAAGAAAAACAGGTGGATTTATACAGTGGGTGGTTGCCCCCCATCAAAAATCTGGTGAGAGCTGTGTGTGGCCCATGCTTGAATAGTTGCTCATCCCAGGGTGAAGTAATATCATGCTTGCCTGTTCTTGTCTAAGCAGCTGCATTCTCTTGCCACTGATCCTTGCTGCAATGTGACAGGATCCTTAAAGTTTGTTTTATTTTAATTCTCAACCAGAAATTGTCTGAGTGTAACCCTATATTCAATGAGCCCATCTTTTTCTTGACTGAGGAGACTATTATTATTATTATTATTATTATTATTATTATTATTATTATTATTATTAGGAGGGAGGCATGTTTTCTCATCCTGGCATTTTTAGTTGTGTTATATAATGGGTGGTCTGGAAATATATCTTACATTATGCATGACCACTTCAGCAGGTGACAGTGTTTTCAAATAATGATTAATATGACATTTAATAATCCTCTTCCTCCTTCCCAACAGTGGTATGTTCAAGCTACCTGCGCCACACAAGGAACTGGTCTGTATGAGGGACTTGACTGGCTGTCAAATGAGCTATCAAAACGCTAGCTGAAACTGGATGACTTTCGCACCAGGGACATGTTTGATATAAGTGGTCTAGGCTTGTTACATCAAAATTAGTTTGCATCTTGGTTACTATACAGTATCTGGAACTGGTTTGGGCAGGATATTACAGCATTTTGACTTATTTTGTTGCCAATTATTGTTCACCAAGCTACATGTTGCCAAGGTAACAATAAGCTTGGGTTAAAAAAAACTCCTTAATTTGGAAAAAAGTGTATCTTCTGATTTTTACTTTTACCGTTAGCCTAAATGCCTGAATATAGTTGTGACTTTGGAAATCTGTTCGAATGCTTCTTGAGCCCCAATTAAATTAAGTATGTTTTAAAAGATTTTCCCCTGTCTTTAAGTTACTGATATTATTTCATTCCTTGAGACACTCTGCTGATTTAATCTAGCATTCCATTCATATTTATTTCTCTTATTAAAAAAAAACCCTTCCTAATATTCTTTGTTGGGAAAATGCTCTAAAACACTATTCAGATCTTCTGCACTGAGGAACATTTTATTAACCCCTTGGGTTCTTCTGACCCACTTTTGCCTTGTGTCAGCTGAATCTGGTTGGTAAAATATTTCTGTGCTGAATGAAACAAGCTCCTTGAGATTTTTTAATATTCAGCAGATTGTCTTTCTTTATATTGTATTTTTTGTTGCATGTTGCTTTTTGGTATCGGCCTGTTTTACCCAGTGTATAGTAGTTCTGCTAAAGTTTAACTGTTTATCGGTGAACATATCTTCATGAAGACAGATTTTGGAAATTCTTCAGACTCAATGGATTAATTTCTTCATAACCTATTCAGATTTATTCCTAATAAAATGTATAGCTTTGTGTATGCTCCTTGAATTTTAAGTTTGTGGAACTGATAATATGAATGTGTGACAGATTCTTTTTCAATAAACAGGAGTTTTTTTCTGTACCTTGGGACACACAGATCTGAATAGCCTCTGAATTGTTTTCAATTTGGCAAAAAATCAAGATGGGCAGTTAAACTTGTGTACAGTGTAACTGGTTTATCATCAAGACTAAAATCCTGTAAAAGTGTTCTGAAGCTGTAAATCTAAATCCCTTGAAGATGTCCAGATTTGAGAGTACTAACAGTTTAAAATTGTAATAAAGTACAATCTGCCCAAATAATGTGTGTTTCATTCTTAATGGAACAGAATATGTGTACGTGCTAGTTTTCCTGTTTCACCTGTGTGTTTTCTATATTATACACCATTTAATTTAGTATGGCTTTGGTTGGAAAAGCCCTTCTTCACTCATAAACCATGTCCTAAAATCTGTTTCCTGACTGTACAGTACTTCAAACTCATTTACCTTGTTATCTTTAATTTCAAGTTAGACATAGAATTTTCTGGATACTTATTTTCTTTTGAAAGAACATATGAACTCACAACAAAGGCTTTCACAATCCTTTTATTTCCTGATTGAATGTTTGTATATTTGTAGATTTAAAATTGTATTGAAATGCTTTTAATATAAGCTGCTTTGAGTCTACTTGTAGAGAGAAAAAGTTGGGTATAAATCTATTATTATTATTATTATTGTGATGGTGGTGGTAATCTCTGAGATATTAGTTTGGGGAACTAGCATGGTATTAATGTGAGGAAACAACATTTTACAAGATAGGTTCCATTGCTTTCCACATTTTTAGATATTTGATTGATAGTTACAGTCGTGCTTTTAAACGAAAGATGGCATGGCATCATGATTAATATAGTTTGATTTGTGCAATTTCAGTCACTTTGAACATGCTGTCTTCTGAAGGATGGTGAATCATTTCTGTTAATCTGTTATCTCTTGAGCTTTAAAAACTGCTTCTTTGAGTTGATGCTCCCATCAAGTACAAAATGTGTAGCAGATGCTGTGTCCGCTACACTACTGAAGACCTTGCAGAGTTCTCATTTCATTTTTCCTGTCTTCTTTTTCCCTTTGTTTTAGAGTTTGTTCTGCTCTGCATTATAAATGTTGTGCATTTGAGTATCCAGTTTCATTGAATGATGACAATGTTGGCAAAAATTAACCCATTGAGCCTTTGAAGTTACCTACTGTTTTAAATATGAGAGCTGAAAAGTCAGTAATCTGCAAACAATACATTTTCACAAGTTCTGTTTACACTACTGGGCACTATCAAAAGCCAGACTCAATTCTTTACAAACATTTGCAGATTGTTTTTCCTTATTTAGGAAGAAATCATGCTCAAACATACCTTATTTACTCAAATCTAACACTCACCTGTTTGGGCTAAATTGCCTTGCCAAAATCAGGGTGTGCATTAGATCTGCATCATGCGATCTTAGTTCTTAGCCAAAGCAAAATGGGAAGCTGCTTAAGAAGTATGTGGAGTTTTTATTTGAGGGACCCTCATCTCTAACGGAACAGTCATGGCTTAATGCTATTCCATCATGAGATGTGTAGTCTGGTGAAGCATCAGCATTTTCTGGCAGAGAAGGTTCCTGACCTTGTAAAACTACAGCCCCCATGACTCCATAGCATTGCATCAAGGCAATTAAAGTGGATTCATTTTACAGCATAGATGTACCTCATTTTTTGGGGTTTTTTTCTTATGGTTGTAAGTATTGGTGCTCTAACACTTCTGTTTTTAAATAAGGAATTCTGAGCAGGCAGCAACTGCAATGTGCACCTTTTTGGGCCAAATTACAAAGAGTGCACTTTTTGCTGCTGCACATCATTTAACAGCAAAGACTTTTTTGGTTTTACGGTTTTGAAAATTGAAGTGCACATCAGATTCGATGGTGCATTAGACTCTAGTAAATACGGTAGCAATGACTTATTTAAGCACAATGCATTTGGTTTACATGGACAAGGCTCTTCACTTCCACCACCCCCGCAAATCACTGGAGAATAGAAACTGCCATATAATGCTTGAATGCTAAATTAATATGGATAGTTTCATGAGGAAGGAGTATATTTGACAGCTTGTCAAGGAATACCTTCTTGCCAAGAGACAATATTAACACATTGACAGCATACACTTTCTGCCAAGACTCAAGTTGTCAAATTCATTCAAGTTATTCCATTCAAAAATAAATTTAGTTTAAGAAAAACATGTCTAATCAGCATTTTAAAAAAACCTGAAAAGGAAACTATAATTCAACTTTTTAAAAGAACATTAATTGTTGATAGTTTTAAAAAATCAAAATACAAAAATGTAACCTTGGCTAAGAGTGTTGCAGTTATGAGATTGAGCGTGGGCAAACGTGGGCCCTCCAGGTGTTTTGAACTTCAACTCCCACAATTCCTAACAGTCTACTGGCTGTTAGGAATTGTAGGAGTTTAAGTCCAAAACACCTGAAGAGCCCACATTTGCCTATAACTGTATGAGACGCATTTGGTCTGTCCCAAACAACATGAGAATGTATTGTTGAAGGCTTTCATGGCCGGAATCACTGGGTTGCTGTAGGTTTTTTGGGCTATATGGCCATGTTCTAGAAGCATTCTCTTCTGACGTTTCGCCTGCATCTATCTGCCATACCAGAGGTTGTGAGGTCTGAGAATGACTTTGTACACAGTGCAGAAGGACCAGGAAAGTAAAGTGAGGGTTGAGACAAGTGGAAGGGAAACCCAGGCATATAGGGCCCTTCCACACAGCTATATAACCCAGAATATCAAGGCAGAAAATCTCACAATATCTGCTTTGAATTGGGTTATCTGAATCCACACTGATGTATCCCAGTTCAGAGCAGAAAATGTCAGATTTTATTCAGCTGTGTGGAAGGGGCCATAGTTAGTCCTTTCTCAGTTGACTCTGCAGCTTTGTAACTGTATGTTACAGTAGCTTTTGCGTCTTGTCACGGGTGGAAAAGCAGAGGAGTCTGGAGCAGCATCCTTCAGCTTCAAGAACCAAGGACAATGTGGCTGTTGGTGTGAAGGCCTGAGTGCTCCCCTGCCCATGGAACAGCCCTGACTTGTCTTTCTCCTGCACTCAAAACCCAGCTCAAAAGGACATCATTTTGGCACAGTTGAAAAGGCCCAGGCAGCTGTGAGGAAGGCTTTGAACAACATCTCAAGTTAAGACTTCCTCCACTGCGATGAAGAGGAGCAACTCTATTCGGTCACAAGGAGCATGTTTTGAAGGGGATAATTATCATTGTGTGTATGTTGAAGAATTGTTTCTACATCATTATCAAGTTTTTTGGGCCAGATCATGCCTGTGGTGCCAACCAAGCTGGGAAGAGGCAGCCCTCTTGACCCAAGCCACCTTCCACAGTTGATGAGGAAAAGTCTCACAACACTTCTAATTAGAACAGGGCAAACATGGTATGATTTCAGTAAGGCCTCCGACAAAATACCCCATGGCCTTCTTGCAAGCAAACTAGTCAAATGCGGGCCAGGCAATATTACCATTAGTTGGATCTATAATTGGTTAAGTGACTGAACCCAAAGGGTGCTCACCAATGGTTCCTCTTCGTCTTGGAAAGAAGCGATTAGTGGGGTGTCGTAGGGTTCAGTCCTGTTCAACATCTTTATCAATGATTTGGATCAAGGTTTAGAGGCCATGTTGATCAAGTTTGCAGATGACACCAAATTTTAGGAGGGATAGCTGATACTCCAGAGGACACAAAATGATCTTTACAGATTAGAGAGATGGGTCAAAACAACAGATGAAGTTCAACAGTGACAAATGCAACATACTCCACTTAGGCAGAAAAAAATTAAATACAAAGATACAGAATGGGGGATGCCTGACTCAACAGCAGTACGTGTGAAAAAGATCTTTGAATCCTCATGGACAAGTTGAACATGAGCCAACAATGTCATGCGGTGGCAAAAAAGCCAATGGGATTTTGGCCTGCCTCAATAGGAGTCGAGTGTCTAGAACAGTGGTTCTCAACCTGTGGGTCCCCAGATGTTTTGGCCTTGAACTCCCATCCAGCCTCTGTTTAAAAGCCTCCAAAGAAGGAGCCTCCACCACACTCTGGGGCAGAGAGTTCCACTGCTGAACAGCTCTCACAGTCAGGAAGTTCTTCCTAATGTTCAGATGGAATCTCTATTCTTGTAGTTTTCAAGCCACTGCTCCATTGCGTCCTACTCTCCAGGGCAGCAGAAAACAAGCTTGCTCCCTCCTCCCTATGACTTCCTCTCATATATTTATACATGGCTATCATGTCTCCTCTCAGCCTTCTCTTCTTCAGGCTAAACATGCCCAGCTGTTTAAGCCGCTCCTCATAGGACTTGTTCTCCAGACCCTTGATCATTTTAGTCTAGATCCAAAAAAGTCATTATACCTTTCTATTCTGCCTTGATCAGACCACATCTAGAATACTATGTCAATTCTGGGCACTGCAATTCAAGGTGGAAGTTGTCCAGAGAAGGGCAACTAAAAGGATAAAAGGTCTGGAGACCATGCCCTGTGAGAAGCATCTTAAAAAGTTGGATATGTTAAGCCTGCAGAAGAGAAGGTTGTGAGGAGACATGATGGCCATGTCCGGGATTGTGGCGCAGCTGGCTGGGTGTCAGTTGCATTAAGATCACTACTGACCGAAAGGTCATGAGTTCGAAGCCAGCCTGTGTTGGAGTGAGCTTCCAGCCAATTTGTGTAGCTTGTTGTCAACCTTTGCAACCCGAAAACAGTTGCATCTGTCAAGTAGGAAATTTAGGTACCACCTATGTGTGGGGAGGCTAATTTAACAAATTTACGAGGCCATAAAAAATCTCCCCCAAAAAAAAAAAAATGCGGGGGATGCAGAAAGTACTTCATCAGTGTCGCAGATGGACGGTGAAGCAACAGCTCCCCTGGTGGCCAGAAAAAAATTGGAATGTTAAATAGCCTGACTGTCTGTTTATATGTGTTGTGTGTCTATGGCATTGTTTGCCATGTATATGTACATTGTAATCAAAGTGCTGGTTTTGACCTACAAAACCCTTTACGGCTCCGGCCCAGTGTACCTGTCC